AATAGAGGAATTGTGACATCAAAATTTCACAGTGTTGGTTGAACAACACATCATAAATATGTTTGATCTAATCGTTTAAATTAAATAAGGGTTTTTTTTCCTCCAACTCCAAGTCTTCGTGAGTTCTAAGACACGATGCTACGTTGGGAAAATATTTTTGTCTATTAAAAGATATAGAGAATGTTAATGAACCAAATAATAAAAGAGCAAGTGAATTTTATTATTCTGAAAGCATTTTAAAGATGTGTCCTTTTTTCTGTTTATGGTTCTGAAAGGTCAATGACCCCACTAAGTTGTTTCTCTACAAAATTCTGATTTGAAGTCTCATAGTTATCTCCCAAATAAAATGAGAAACGCAACTTGGCTGAAAAGTTTATTTCAACAATAAAGGAATTTCTTTCCAAAATAACTGGTTGTTTGGTAATCTCATACCGATGCGGTGTGGGATGTACCGTTTTTATTGTAATCAATCATAAAAAGATATCAAAACATTTTAAAAAATACTTTTAGTTTTCTTTTGTACCGTTTTTTCTACACGCTACTTCGTACCACTTTTAACTATTTGTGTACTATATATTAACTATTCATTTTACCCGTTAAAATATTTTTACCCCTTTGTATTATCTTTTTTGGGGTAAAAATAGGGTAAAATATCAGTGTGAGATTAGGGTATAGATTTAGCGGGTACCTTTTTTTTAGGGTATATGGTAACCTTGTAAATGTAAGAATTTTCTATGAAACTTTAATTCCAAACTCTTGAATGCCGTGATTTAAAAAAAAATTAGTAAAACCGTTACATAGTTTTCTTTTGGATGCAATTAAAAGCAAAATTTTAACTATTAATATTGCTGTATATATATTCACCTAATTATCCTTTAGCCAAGATAAGACTCATCACATCACACATATAACCTTTGATACATACATACACGTACAATGATTTTGACGGATATGTATAAACAGATGCGTACACGCAAATCCGTATGTGTGAATATGTATTGGATGTTAAAAGATGAAATCAGAAAGCATAAGTTCTTGAAGTGGGAGAGTCAGCAATTTGAAGGGTTTCTTTAATAATTTTATGTGCCTTTCTGCTTCTCAACTCAAATCTCATACTCTCACTCTTTTCTATCTTCTCATACGACGATGATGATGATGATGAAGATGAAGATGATGATGATGATAATGATGATCTCTTCCGCATCCTTAGACCAGTCTTTATCTTCGACTTCAAGCCTTCCACAATCTTACCTAATCTCATCCTCACCACCATCTAATATATGTAGAAGAAGTGAAGAACTGAAGAAAAAAAAAAAAACGAATTAGATCCCAGTTGGAGATTAACATTATAACTTAATACAAGAATATTGTATCTACACTTAAGAGATAAATCCCAACAAAAAGTTTACTTGTAATTAATCTGCAAGATAAAAAGATTGAACTAGATATATATACATGTAAAGGAGAAAAATCAAAGAGACAGAGAGAGAGTATAAGAAATATTGAACCTCAAAAGTGTGGCTTGTAGATATGAGAGAAGATGAAAATGGAGAATATAGAATGTAGGAGAATAATAGATATGTGAAGATCATATTTATATTGTGTGTGTGGTGGAGGCTGATGTCAAAGGTTGTGACTTGTGACTATGTGAGTCTCGTGACCTTATTTTTCAAACTTTTAGCTCATATTATTATTTTTAAGAAAATGAGCTAGTACGTACTATTGTTTAGTTAGTCAAAGATTCAGATTTTCAGGCATCACCAAATCATGTTTCTTGGGGAATTTTGATTTCTTTTACTTATTTGTTTCAGACATTATGTATCTTCTCAGTAAAGTTCTGTTGAGTACTCACCTGAATATTAAAAATGAATTCCAAATAGAGAAATCTGAATAAGATGGAAAATCTTGTGTGGTACTTATCAAAAGGATTATTACATGTAGTTTGTTTTGCTTTCTCCACTTGAAAACTATATTATTTTTTCTTCATTACTTGATAGCTAGAGCTAGATGTTATCAAGAACATGTGTTCAGGTTGTGTGAAAATATACAAATTGAACTTGTACATTTGTACATCACATACGGTTTATTGGGTTCGAATAGAGCCAAAATGATGTAGCAAGATATTTGGAAATATTCTAAATATCATTTATTATTATACTTTATTTAGTTAACTAATTTTATTCTATGTTTTAGGGTTTTGAGCTTTTATTATAAATAGCCGTCTTAGGCTTCTTGTATTACTTGGTTGTTTTTGATTAATAAAATTAAAGAGCTTTTGATAAACACTGAGAAGAGTATTCTCAAACGAAGTCTTTGAAGTCTTTGTTTATCGTGAATCCATTGATCTCCGATAACAATAGAATTCCGAGCTACGATTGTCCTGCTTGAGATCCATTGATACTCAAGATTACTTTCGTAATCTATCCCTAGAAGCTTCCGCTACGTCAGTTGGTATCAGAGCCGAATCGGTTCTTTGTTTATCATGTCGCTTGGGTGTCTCTATCACACGGATGAATATCCGTTTACTTTTACAGAAGACTTGTATGAAGAGTACAAGGAAATTATTGGTGATCCAATTTTCGACGTATACAATGATGAAGATCTAATTCACGAAGATAAAGATCTAACTCATGATGTATACGATGCATATATTGAAGAACTCATCTACGTTCAAAGGATGAAGGTGATGAGACGTGTTGTTAATCAAATTATCTTCACATCCATGAAAGATCCCCATTTAATTCATCAAGCCGATGACATGGACGTGGAGAAGCATACAAGGGTTTGGGCTTCTTTTGTTAAAGCAGTCCCAATAAAAATACCTCCTCATGACGTGAGGGAGCCTATGATTCGAGACCATCAACGACTCAACATAGCACTCATGGCATATTTCGGTTGGAAAATTAATGATTTTGGCGAGAGGCAAAATTATATATTCACGTTTGAAGGATTTTATCAATGGAGAAAAAGAAAGAAAAGATGGAAGCAACAAAGGGTGTTAAGATTCGAGGACGAATCTTTCTCTACCCCGAGTGACCTGATGTAGCAAGATATTTGGAAATATTCTAAATATCATTTATTATTATACTTTATTTAGTTAACTAATTTTATTCTATGTTTTAGGGTTTTGAGCTTTTATTATAAATAGCCGTCTTAGGCTTCTTGTATTACTTGGTTGTTTTTGATTAATAAAATTAAAGAGCTTTTGATAAGCACTGAGAAGAGTATTCACAAACGAAATATTTGAAGTCTTTGTTTATCGTGAATCCATTGATCTCCGATAACAATAGAATTCCGAGCTACGATTGTCCTGCTTGAGATCCATTGATACTCAAGATTACTTTCGTAATCTATCCCTAGAAGCTTCCGCTACGTCACAAAATATGTGTACTTAATATCTAGTTAATCTTAATGGTTGTAAACATTTGAAAAATCTTAATAACCCTTATAATAAATATGAAAAGACAACTTAGAACACCTAACTTTTTCTTCTTTTAGGAGACATGGAAGATTAGCTAATTTCATCTCTGAATAATTATATTTTTTCATATTTAGTATTAAAATAGTACTTTAAATCGTTACAAAGACTATTATTAAAATCTTTATAATCACTACTGCAATATAAATTATAAAAGTAATGTTCCAATTAAATTCATCCAAATCATATTTTTAGTTAGTTTGTTTAGTTTCTTAAATTTTCTTTATTTAAATATTAGTAAATCTAAGAGAAATTAGCAAGGAAAACTTTTCAAAGATTTTATTCAACACAAGTTAAAAGTTTTAAGAAAAATGATTTTAATTTAATAAAAAATATCTGTCATGATCCCGACCAATGACTAGTAGTTTTGTGAGGACATAAAAGGAGAACAGTGTGGACAGGAAATGAAAAAGAAAAAGAATATAGAAGCTGAAAATTGTGTGTAATCTTGAAAATATCGTTTACGACCCGACTTATGGACTAATGATTTTATATTGTTTAAAGTATTTAACTTGAATAACTAGTTTTTTTTTTCCGCCAAACACCACTTGAATAACTAGTTAGAACTTAGAAGCATGAAACATGTGTAGTTGTGTACATCATTATGCAAACAGCTATCTCATGCATTTTTTTTTTTCTTTTGGTTACAGATATCTTTAAAAAAAAATCGAATATCAATGAAGTTGGTTAGTTTTCTATACATCAATTCAACGGGAAAATTCGCAATTGAAACAATACCAGTCCATTTTAACCCAAAATTTTTTATAATTAGTCTGTCGCTGAGAGATTTTTAATTTGGTAGAGGCTTTGAATTTAAAGAAGCAGAGAGTCATAAGCTGAATGCTTTGAAGGTAAGTCCTCGGACATAAACCAAGCACATGGAGGAAAAAAAATCAACATTCAAGTTCTTAATGAAATTATTAGGTTAATTAAAGTCTAAAAAAATTTAGAATTGTATATATAATTTGTTGTTTAAGACATGTTTCATTCTTGTTATAATATGCATAATAAGTTTCAATCCAGAGAAAAGCAAATGATCTATCAAAATTTCTCGTAAAACTGTTTTTCAGTCCTAAGACTCCTATTGGCTATTGATGCTATCATTGTTTAAGCTTTTCGTCTTTTAAATAAATACGGTTGGTCAAAATTAATATACGAACTTAACTTATTAATCATCGTAGGGTCTACTAATCGACTAGTAAATGGATTGGCTAAACCTTTGACTTCTATGCATTCCATTAATTGGTTAGATTTTCCATGTTAGTATATGATTTACGAAACTTCAATATGTACTTCCAAGTTTCAAAACAAGTTTACATTGGTCAAATAATTCGTGTTTGATTTGGGCCTTATAATTGTTACAATGGTTCTTAATATTCATTTGTAGGTCCATTATAATTAAGAGACTATAGCAACAGGAGTTAATGGTAGTACGATTTCATTTTCATTCTTTTACGAGTTTTACCTCTTCGTATTTAGATTATATCTTTTAAATTGGATATAATTATAATATTTTCTCCAATATCTATCTTACTCCGCTTCAAAATCTCATATATTCAGAGATTTATATTTGATTCTTGAGATATAACCCGATTACATAAATGTGTTGTTTCGAGATGACTAGTAGTACCATCTAAATAATGGATTAGGTACTTTGTTAAGCACCCGCTTCAACCAAAAGTGGTGATTCAGCCCTACATCGGAGGCAATATTATTTTTATCTTTATTTTTTATTACCTAGATCTTCGATGGAAACGATCTTCTCGATCGTGCTCATCACCCGGAGAGTTCCATCCCACTAAAAGGAAAAACTAAATCCATTTTCCTTTTTCTCAAAAAATCTCAACTCTCCAAGACTCCAACCAGTCACGTTGTATGACTTGAACGTAGAAAAACCTTTGAAGGACAAAAAATTATTGTCTTTGCGAAACCATCTTGACCATGTTTTTGTCTTGAAAAACGGCATCAAAATGGAAAGACCCGAACAAGAGCACCAAGTGGAGAGTCTAGAGATGAAGAGAGTATGACGTCCATCAGAGGATGTGTACACGTAAAAGAAGGTCAAATTCCACAATACCTAAACATTGACCGAGTCTCTTCGACTTGGTCTTTGCTTTTTCCTTATAATTTTTGCATTCGTACGTTAATAATGGAAGAATTAGTCTCCTAATTCCCAGTTTCTTGTTTTATAGGTTTAACATTTGTTTTCTCCAAAAAAAAAAATACTCACTGCCGTCACTGGCCTAAGATCTTGCAGCGATCTGAGGTCAAACATATGGCGGCCACAAGCGCCCCCATCACCATGAAGGAGGTTCTAGCGGTTAGTTCTGCTTTTTCAGACACCATTTGAAAGTTACACTCTAATATTTGCGAATATATATGTAGATTCTTTTTGTTCTCTCGTTCATCTATACTGGGGTTGTTTGTTTATCAGCAGCCATTACCAAAAAAAAAAAAAAAGATACACAAAACTGTGGATTCCAAAACTGATACAGAATAAATGAAAGTATCCTTAGTTTTTTCTGCTAGAGAGAGATATGAATGCCAAAGACTTCGGAGTAGTTGGGTTTCAACGAATGAGAGAATGCTTTTTCATTTTTGAGTGTTTGACTTTCTGTAAATTTTCTTGTTAGTTGTTTTTATCGATTAAAAATTCAATTCAATATATTTATTTTTAGCAGAATTTCGGTTATATGTCAGGTAAAAAGTATATCAATAATATTTAATTATTCATGTTTTGAAAATCGATTACTTTAACATACACACAAAACAGATAATTTGTATTTTAAGTTTTTAGTATATTATAGTCTTACTTTGTATGAAACTCATAAAACAAATTAGTTTACGCACATTCTAGTATTATAAATTTATAACATACAAATAAGAATTTTTGTAGTTTTTCTTAATATTTGATTTCTTAGTTGTTGTTGTTGAAATGATATATTATAGTTGATGCATGTAGGCATATTTTCGAAAAAGAAAAGCCATTCATCAATGATACATTTTACATTTTTTGTCAAGCATTTTGAGGAGTTATTTGCTCAAACCAAGTACAAGGAGGCTGCTGAGCTTGCTGCTGACTCTCCTCGAGGCATTCTCCGGACACCTGATACAATTGCCAAATTTCGGGTCAATATTTATTTCATAAATTATCCATTAGTTCCGTTTTAACATGTTTTTCTATGACTAACTATAGATGATTCTGTAAACTACAATATATATAATTTTGTAGAATGTTCATGTACAAGCTGGACAAAATCATCCATTGTTACAATATTTTGCGACTCTATTGACAAAAGGAAAGCTCAATGCATTTGAATCATTGGAACTATCTTCGCTTGTTGTGAATCAAGGCAAGAAGAACCTCTTGGAAAACTGGTTGGCGGATGACAAGTTGGAATGTACCGAAGAACTTGGAGACCTTGTTAAGGTATAATCAAACTAAATTAACTAATTTTATTTAGAATGTTTATGTCTTTTTTTTATCTGCTATAATGGTAATCTATTTGTTTTAGACTGTGGATAATGATCTTGCTCTTAAAATATACACTAAAGCTCGGACCACCCCAAAAGTCATTGGCAAAATACCAATCTACTCAAAACAGGTAAACTACAAGATCAAAGTTTGTCCTGCTTTATAATGGCTTATTGCTTAGGTCATCCCTCAATGTTCAAGAGTTGCGTGAAGCCAACTCATAGGTTTTTGACCTTAGTTGAACTACCACAATCAAGGGGGTATATATATATCCAATTTTTCTTAAACAAATGTTTTAAGTAGGGGAATCCATACTATCTGCATGGACTCTGATGAGGGCTGGTCCAGTGAATTGTATGGCCCGTAGCGGGTTTAAACTATTGACCAAAATCACTTGGCTTTGTCTCAATTATGATCCTGTCTATTAGATGTGCAAAATAACCCTTGCTTTACTTTACTTCTTGTGTAACCATATAAATGAACCGCAAGGATGCTCCGCCGCAACATCAAGTTTTTATTAATTTTCGAGGAGAACAGCTGCGCCAAAACTTTGTTAGCCATCTCGTGGAAGCCCTTAGGAGAAATGCGATCAATGTGTTTATAGACAATCAAGAGCTTAGAGGTGAAGATATCAGCATTCTTTTGAAGAGGATCGAGGATTCTAGAATCGCCATTGTTGTGTTCTCGAGCAGGTACACAGAATCAAGGTGGTGCTTGAGAGAGGCTGTGAAGATCAAAGAATGTGTGGAGCAAGACATGCTAAAGGTGAGATGATGATCATCATGTATATTTCTATGCATGCATAGTTTTAGGCTAAAACTTTTAGCTAAAGAAAGATATTTGAGTAGAGGAGTGTTGTGTATTAATAAGCTCTATGTAATCACTAGGTGCTTCCCATCTTCTACAAGGTGACTACAACCGGTGTGAAACAACTCAAAGGAGAGTTTGGTGACCATTTCAGAGATCGAGAGTGGGAATATCGGTTTGACAAACCGAGAATTGAGAGATGGAAAGAGGCGTTGGCCTTTCTTTCTGGTAAGCTTGGCCTCACGTTTGATGAGAAAAGGTATTGCAATCTTTTCTTGAGATCCATACTTCACTAGTAAGTAGTATATATAAAAGATCTTTTTGAGGGAAATATCTAAGTCGGATAAATTAATTTTGCATAGTTTTATGGTGTCGTACGTTATAGTTTGACATATCAACGTAATGTTTAGAATTCCATATTCAAATGGTTCATGCATAGGACCGCTCCATGCCTAGTTTTTATGTACGGTAATTACTGATTAGCTAGGAATGACACACGTCTACATTAATTTCGTGGTATGTGCATCCAATGGTTATGTAAAACATAAATTACATTGTCTTTGTATACCAAGAAATAAATAAAATTACATCATCTTGTTATTTTTCTTTTTACAGCTCGGAGAGTGATTTCATTGAATCAATCGTTAAGGAAGTCTTGAGATTGCTAGCAAGTATTCCGTCGACTGTGTAAACTGTGAATTCTTAAATCTCTATATCGAAGATAACTTAGAGAGAAAAATGTTTATATTTAGGATCAAATATACAATGAACCGTCAAAGTCTGAATATGTATATATAAACCTGTGAAATTTAATATGTTTGGCGGATAAATTTTTCTCTAAATTCTCGATATTTTCTCTCTCGACATTTCACTAGAAAATAGCTCTGAAATAGCCGATTATGCTCGACATTTTCTTCTTCTTAGACCTGATATAATTTTACCTTAATTTCCTTTCTCAGTTGGCACAACCCATAAATCAGGTTTGAATATGAAAGCAATGCCAATGATCATTGTCATGTTACTCAACTATTAGAAGAAGATCAAATGTCAATACCTTAATTGGTAAAGACTCTCAAGCAAAGCCTAGAAATTGTCGGTTCGAATGGCGTTTGGAAAGAGACCATATAAAATTCTCTGGTCTCTGGTCGGATGTACAGGCATAAGCCCAGAATCTCTTACTTAAATATTAGAGGAGGAGCTAATTAATAAAAGTTGAATATAACATTTCACCAAAAAAAAAATTAATGAGACGGTGAATTTTTTACAAATACTATTATCACATAGCACATTTCAATTTTTCAATTTTAGTTTATTTATAAAAAGTTAGATAGGAATTTGTAGAAGAAAAAAAAAATAAAACATGCAATTTTCTTTTTAACTGATCAAAAATATCAAAACATGAACTTGTTTTTTTTTTTTTTTTTTTTGTAGACTCTTTTAACAAGCCTCTCTTTCTCTATATTGTATGTTTCAAATTTTGATATTTGTTTCTGTTAATAAAAAAGTCTAAGAGCTTTAATAATAACAAAAAAAGGAAAATAAAGCTGGGTGGGTTTTATAATAGTTACGGTGAACTTGGTCGCATTGGATAATTTTGTGATTGTTCTTCTTGGGCGGACCAATAAAAGCCTCTCTTTTGAATCACCCACAGATCTATCGCCTCTCTTCACTCGTGCCTCCCAGAATTTTGTTTCCCGTTGATAAAGGTTAAACCTTTCTTCTTCTCTCTGGTTTCCTTCTTCTTCTTCTTCTTCTAATTTCGATTTCAAGTTCTTCTCTTTCGTGAGCTTCGGTGCCGTTTCATATTCCCTTCGATTTCAAGTTCTTCTTTTTGGCCAAGGGTTTTGAAGTGAAACACTTTTGATTCTTGTTGCTTCAAGTTTCCATTTTTTTCAATTGGGTTTTGGAGAAAACACTATGAGCTTGTAATTGAATTGACTAGCTCGAAGAATCTTGTTTTTGTTTACACTGAGAATTGGGTTCTTGATAGAATTGGATTCTGAATGTTGTGTAGAGTTTTTGGAATTGCTCATTGGTGTTTGCTTTTGTTATGTAGGGTTTATCATTGGTGGATGATTAGTGAAACTTTTTAAGGAGATAATAGTTTACTAGATTTAGTTAAAAATGGCAGCTTCAAGCGGCTCTGGTTTGGAAGGTCAGAAACATGACCTCAATCCTTTTGTTGATATGTATTCTTTGTGTTTACTGATTTAGGAAGTTTTATCGAGTTTCCATTTCTTTATTTCGGTTTCTTAGAGGTCTTGTTTGTGAGACTCATCCAATTTAGAGAGAGCTTTATAGGGTTCATCGGTTTCCAATAGAGGGGAAAAAGCTTTGAGCTTTGTTTATTGGCTATGCTGAGGGATTTTCTTTGTATGCTTTGATCTGAATAAAGAAGAGCTTTTGTGATTTGTTCTGTTTTTTTTTTTTTTTTTTAATTCTTGACTTTATCAGCTGAAGAGGGGGAAATAAGTATAGACATGGAGGAAGACATGGATCTAACAGAAGATGATTTCAGAAATGTGTCTGGCCAGTTTTCAGGGGAAGCATCGATAGTGGAGGTTCGGGATGCTGTCAATGTCAGTGTTGAAACCGTTAAAGTGGATGTTAGCTGTATCCTCCTTATTCTTCTTCTTATGTTGGAGGTTGCTAATGTTTGTGTTACTCAAACACATCAGCTTGGAGTATAGTTAATTCAAAAACACTTTAGGATTGACATGGAATTTGAACACTTTAGTTAATCATTTGCTTTGAGATTATGTTCTCTTTCTTTCTTTTCCATAACTCCATGTGTCAGCTAAATCTGGTGTTAAAAGACCTAGAACAATCTCTCTGGAACAGCAACCTTCGGTCCATGTTACTTATAAACACTTAACAAGGTTAGATGAAAAGAAGACTCTTAACTCGATAACATGAAAGTTTTAACATTTGAATGCTCAAACATTGCTATCATTATATGATTTTTGGTGTTCTACTTTTTTAAATTCTTATTGTCCTGGATCTTTCAGAAATAGTAAGCAGAAGCTGGAAAGTTTATTACAGCAATGGTCAGAATGGGAGGCAGAACAAAATTCCTTCTCTGAGGTAGCTATGGTTTGATGTCTTCTGAAGTGCTTTTAATTGCCAATACAGTGAATTCTTTTGTTTTGCAATATTCGATCAGTTTCAAGTTGTGATTGAAAGAATAATTGTAAATGAAATTTAGCAATTCTGCACAAATGATAAGGATACTTGTTTGCTGACTATTTCATGTTATTACCTAAGCTAGAAATTTTTTGTTTGCAATATGAGCAGGATCAAGAACAAGTACTAGAATCTGGTGATGAGACATACTTTCCTGCTTTACGTGTGGGATTGCAGAAGACATCATCTGTAGTGAGTGAAACTGTTTTTTCAAGCATATAAATCTTGAAGTTTTCAGGTTTTTCGTAATCCTTACTGATAGATACATTCTTTCTTGTGCAGTCATTTTGGTTTGACTACCAAACTGGTCACAGTTCTTCGAAGAAGTCTGTTCCAGTGGAAAGTAGCACTACTCCTCTTTATAATCGTGGATTTACAATTGGTTTAGATTCAGCTGGTGGTTCAAATAACATGGAAGGGTAAACAATCTAGTTTTATCCTTCAATCTGATTTCGTTTACCTTGTGACAGTGGATATGTTACTGATACTTTATTATCTGCCTTGTGCATTCTTTTGATTTGTTTTGTCTTTGTTGTTCCAGAGGCTTGGAGATTATTGATGATCCTCCACGTTGCTTCAATTGTGGTGCATACAGTCATTCCATTAGAGAATGTCCAAAGCCTTTTGATCGATCAGCAGTTAGTAATGCTCGGAGGGAACATAAAAGCAAAAGAAACCAGACTTCTGGATCCCGTCTACCGTCCCGATATTATCAAAGCCCTCAAGGTGGAAAATATGATGGCTTGAAGCCTGGCTCACTTGATGCAGAGACGCGTAAACTTCTTGGTCTAAAGGTAATTTTCAACCTTCTTCTGCAGTATTGGAATTAGACCAGAGAAAATGCGTTTCCTGATTAAGCGGTTTTTGTCTTGTGTAGGAACTCGATCCTCCTCCATGGCTTAACAGAATGCGAGAGATTGGATATCCACCAGGATATTTGGGTTAGCTTTCCTGCCCTCTCTTGTTATCCTTCATTAGAGTGGTGTTAAAATGGATCATTTATTTCCAACCCGACCCATTACCCTTTTAAAATTGATGGATAAAATGGTTGTCATCATCACACAATCATCATCATCATATTAAAGGCATCTTTGTTCATGACTTGGTTGCATCTACTTTTTTGTTTATATCACTTAGGTGTAGAAGACAACGATGATCTCTCGGGAATCACTATATTTGGTGAGGAAGAGACTAAAGAAGAGGAAGAAGTTAAGACTGAGGAAGGTGAAATCTTGGAAGAAAAAGCAAGCCCTCAAGAGCCAAGAAGGATAATGACAGTTGGGTTTCCCGGGATTAACGCACCCATACCAGAAAACGCAGATTCATGGCTATGGGAACAGAGGAATAACACAGGGCATACTTATTATCATGATCACCTTCGACCACAAAATTATGGATATGAGATGGGCCCTCTAGGTATTCAACTGTCTTCGAGCTTTCCTCCAAGGTATGGCATTAGATATGATCATGGGTTCGGTTTATGACCAATAAGCCCGGGATCCGAAAGAGTTAAGATCCATTTAGTTTTAGCAGCAGAAGGTGAATTCATTAGTGAGTGTGGGATGTATAATAACGTTATTAAGTTGTTTTAGATCTAGCATCGGTATCCAAGTTTTGCTCGAAGCGCCCGATTAATCTAGTGGTCAGCAGATCCATTAGTTAAAGAGTTACCCCCTAAGCCAATTACTGTTATAACATTCAAGCTTAAGCCAAGTGGTCTATGCTCAGTTTTTGTTCAATCGGAATCGAACCTTAACGTCCTTAGCCTTAAAACTTGTAACATGTCCGTCCATCAATGTACAAGATTTTTTGTTTTTGTTTGGTGATTGTCTCTACTAAAATTAATATATCTCAGTGAATCTAGTTCGTCCCGACACTCATTAACGATAAAATCATATATATGAAAACTTTCTATTATCGCATAAGAAATGTCATTTTGCATTAATTAAATAAAAAATTAACAAAATTAAGCGAAGAAAAATAAAAAAATCTTAAATTGTATTAAATCTTCCATCAATACCGCTTTTAATTGATTTTTTCAAAATAAAATCAAAAATAAAAAATCATATTAATGCATTAAACACTATTTATTTGTTTTTTTATCAATGGTAATTATTCAATAATGACAAATTTTACAGTTTAGCTGTTTGCTACCAAACCTCTTCTTAATTTAGTATTTTACCTTGATATTTTTATTATTATTATGTTTTGTAGTTCATATACGATTATATGATATTATTTCTTTTCATTTTTGTGTCTTTTGCTAAGTTGATAACATTGACAATGATATGCAAGTTTTTTCAAGAAATGAACCTTTGAGACCTTAGCCATTCTAAGAAATTTAAGATGCGATAATTCTCTCCTATATATATGCAAATACAAGGAGAGAGATCTAAAAATGTTGACTTAAATGACTCTTCAATTTTTTTGTTTTTTTTTTCTTCTTTTCATATGAAAACTCTCGAAACAAATGAATAGTTAGTTATAAATATGTTGTTCAAAATATGTCAATTATGAGCCTATTATGATGTGCGTGGTTGGATTATTAGATCACGAGAGATTACATAGAACAAGGAATTGTTTGTTTATAATCAAGTTAGACAAGTTTCAAACTATATAAATAACACTAGGTAAGAACTCGTACCATGCACGGATAAATCTTATGTTATTTAATTTTATAATAGAACGATTTAAAAAAAACTCAAAGTTTTATATTGAATCATGAGATGTCAAATCTAATTTTTGTAAATACGTTAAATAAAACTGCAAATTAAATTTTAAATATTTTCATGATTTATATTATAGGTTGACAAAAAAATGATTTATATTATATAAATAAAGTTGCATTTACGTCATTCATAAATTTAGACTTATAGATTCGCAGTTTCAATTTTTTTAATAATATATAAAAGAATTTGTTGGTGATAAAATGCATATACTATATGTTTACATTATTTATATTTTCAATTTAAAAACACAATGTATTTAATATAAAATTATTTCTATAGAAATTTTCTTATATGAAAGTTCGAGATATTTAATTTTGCTAAGTTTAGTTAATAAGAGTATGTAGTATGTGGAATTAAAATTGTTTGGCAAGATGGATAGTAGAATTAAAGAATATAAAAAGATGAGATAATTGTAGGTTTGACACAAAGGCACCAAAAAACCGTCTTTTAATATATAGAGGATAATTACTTACCATTGTATTAATATATCATATATTGTTGTTTTATGTATTTATGATATATAGTGTAAAAAATTAGAATTTTAGGTATATAGATAATTAGATTTCTATATGAAAAAGGTATAACTGATTTTGAGTCAAAACTGAATCCAACCATCAAAATTGTAACTACATAAATTAGCAACAAAGAACCGTCAATTTAATTTATTTTTAACAATTCTCAGAACAACAGCCCACGCATAGCGTGAGTATTCACCTAGTAGTAATGAAATTCGCTTAATGATTAATAATGCTACACTATTACACGAGCCACAAATCATAATGCGGGAAAAAAGTTCATGTATTTTTGTGAAAATCGAAAAATATATAGTTGGTGTATTTTCATAGAATTTTCTCATATATCAAATATAATTACATGATACGGATTGGTAACATATGTCCCTAAACTGCAATCTTGTCTCTCCATGTTTTCATATCCACCATTTGGTACGGAGATTTACTACTACCATGTTCTTTTAATAGTCGTGCGATTCATACCTGCTACTGAATTTTGTAAACTTTTTTTTTTTGACATGTGAGTTTTATAGTTATTAAAATTTTAAAGAGTATATCTATATATATATAGTAAATTTCCAAGAAAAGGCCAACTTTTATGCGGGAGACGAAGATCAGATTTTACAGATTTGCAAATCTCTAAATTAGCAATTCGACTTTTAAAATCTAGCGACTGTTGCTGCTTTTAAATTAAAGCTTGAGTCATGTCGCTATTTTTCCCAGCGATTTTGAAATATTCAAACTAAAGTCGCTGCTACAGAATTTAAATGGAGATGAAGATAAATTTAAATGGAGAGGTAAATAAATTTTTTTGATCGTAAGCAGTTGTCGCTGCGACTCTCTCACGATCAGGGCATGTACATAATTCAAATTCTGGACCATGAATCTCTCACTCGAGCTCCATTAATGTTTCACACCATACCCGATTTCGCGAAACCGATTATATTCTTACCATAACTCCATATTACCCACACAATACTTCTATTCAATTATGCCCGCGATAAGTTTATGGTAATATATTAAAACACTTTGTATCCACTAAATAAACCTAAAACAAATAATTTGGAAAAAACTATTGGTAACTTCAGTCAAACTTATCAAAAGTATTTATCACAATTCTTATCTATAAATTAAGTTTCCATAGATTTTTAAGTTTTATTTTCTATTACAAATAACGAAACATTTGTTTTATAAATACCGCGCAATTTCGTGTCCTAGCGGTAAACTAAATAAAAAAAATTAAAATCAATAGATAAAAATTAAAAAATAAATTAAAACTCCTATAGTGTAAAAAAGGCTTTTTTTTTTTAATAAACCTTACAAAGAAAAGGCCTGAATAATACATAACTACAGAAAAAAATTGTTATAAATCCAAAATAAATCTAAATTTGGTCTTTGTGGGGGAGAGACTTTCTCTCTCTTTTCTCTCTCAATCCTTCAGAGAGAGTAAGTCTTCTCCGATGCTCAAATTTGGCTCCGGCAATGGCCAGCTTCTTCAGTGATGTTGGTCGGTTTCCGTCTGGCGTCGTTGGCTCCCTTAGCAACGTCGGCTAGCTTTTCTCTGGCATCGGTGGCTCTGTTTAGCACCGTTGGTCGGCAAAATTCCAGCACCAGTTGGCTTCTTCCTCAACGGTGGATGGCTACGTCTCCATCGATTCGTCCTTTGATGATTCGGATGGCTTTTGTACCGGTTTTGTCCGGATTTATTTTTCGTTTGTTCTTTCGTTCTCTTAAGCTTCGGTTACTTTGTTTGATTTCTTTGACTCTATCCTTAGATCTAGGTGTGTAATTCTTTGTTCATCCCTTGCTTAGGGGGCTTATTTCGTTCTTCTAGCTTATTGGTTTTTTAATCAATTAAGATAGGATTGAAGTTGCAGAGCGAAGTTGCGTTTGGTGTCTTTGTTTTTTTTTTTTTTTGATTGAATTTGATGAAAGCAAGTCTATATTAGGTGAACTACAAAATTTCTTTGAAGAGTGAAAGCTGTTGATTGAAGAAGAAGATGATGAAGATTTTCAGATTTGCATTAAGTGGAGTCATATTCTCATCAAAGCTAAAATTGGAATTTCGCTTGTTTCTTTGAGCGAAGATTGAGATATGCCGATTGAATAAGTTTTCCGGCGAATTTGGCTAGAGTTGAAGCTTTCGGACATCACAACGATCTGCCAGTGATCGGAGACTCCTACATCTTCGACTTCCCACGTGCCTTCCAACCTGTTTCCCATTTGCCACGTGTCTTATATGCTGCTGTGTTCAAGTTTATCCTTCAGTTTAGGGTTCTCTTAAATGGGCTTTTATTTTTTTTATTGGGTTTGTTTGTTTTAGTCTTTGTTGGTATGTTATATTTGGCTCTGTATTATGAATAAAACACACTTGTGACAAAAAGAAAAAAAAAAAAAAAAAAAAAATCTAAAATATATCCTAAATTTTGACGATAAAAGAAAATCTCGGAAGCCCTAATTAAGGTAACAACACAGAGCAACGAAGTCAGAGGCTTTTCTCTTTCAACTATCTTTCTTTTGTCTGACGCAGAAGAAGAATAAAGGTTCCACCTTTCTTCTTCCTCTCTGCTTCTTCTTTACTCGATTAGGGTTTTGGTTTTGGGTTCTTCTTCGAACAATTTGTGATATTGTCTTTATGATCGGGTGTTGAATTGTAGCTGACGTAGCTAATTAGGGTTTTTGTCGTGCCTCGCTTGTCGATTATCATCACGTAATTATGGTTTTTGAGGAGAGTGTTGCATCAATTTTGGCGATTTCGTTGGAAAAACGAAAACTTTTAAATTTTTGGAGGACTTTAATTAAAGGTTATGTTTTTTTGGAGATCGCAGAGTGTTTAATAAGCTTAATCTGTGAAATCGAGTGTTAATTTGATTGATTTGTTGATTTTGATATGTAAGACTCTTAATCCAACAATTAGTATATAACTTGGGCAACAAGCATGTTACTCTGTTGCAAGTTTTAAACTTTATTGACAATTTTTAATTCCTTCGAATTCGGTGTCTTTCTAATAGCTCTCTGTTTTGAATTGTGCAGGGAACATAGTCTGATGGCGCCACCGCGTAAAAGGCCATGGAACTTGATGCCTATTTATCTTAACACTAAGCCTGATGAATCAGGAGATTTCGATGAGTTCAATCAGCGGTTGAACAATCTACCTGCGGAGTCGAATGTTACATCTGATGAAGACGCACAGTTTCGTAGATCGAGATCGAGAAAATCTCAGTCGAAAGTTAATCGTCGAAACGGAATGTCAAGAGAGCTAGACAATGGTTATTATCCATCAAAGCGGAGGCAAAAGGAAGCACCTTGTTGTCCTTGGAATGATTTATCTACAATCCCTCCTCTTGAGCCATATCCGAGTCCCGAGTCGATTAGCTCTGCTAAGTTCATTGTGGAGAAGAAGTGTTTGATTCCAGTGCCAAGTTTTAAGGAGGTTGCTGCTAATGCTAGAAGATGTTTAAATACATCCCCAATGCCGGTTAGTAGCGAGTCTGCTTCCAACACAAACAGCGGTTCTGACATAACGAAGGAAGATATGAAGAACAATTCTCCTTTGGATAGTAAGGATGTTCAGGGTCCTAGTACTAGCAACGATATAAAATCAGAAAAACCGAAGATAATCAAGGTTTATTCTTTCGCGGATCTGATTACTACGACAAACCGAGGAAACATTCAAACAAAGGAAAGGTCTTTAAACCATGAGAAGAAACTTGGAATTGGTGTGGATATTGTTGAGCCGATGAAATGTAATGAAGTGACCAAGTGTGAGGTTAATGCTGACACAATGTCTCTGCAAAAACGTAACAAGAGAGGTGTCTCTTTGGTCGAACGTTTCACAGAAGAAGAGATTAAGCTGCATATAATGAGTCTTACGAAGCCAAGTATTCAGGTAACTTATTTGGCCTTGTCATTGCTTTTTTGTTTTTTGTTTGTCTTTTAATTTGTTTGGTTATTAATCCTTTTGTTGTTACACAGAGCGCAACCAGAGAAATGTGTGACCACAAGGAGGAGGAGGAGGAGGAGGAAGCATGTCAATTGTGTGTTAATGGCAGACTCTTGTATCCACCACCCCCTTTATACTGCTCATTATGCAGCCGCCGCATCGATGACGAATCTTTCTATTACACCCCCGGGGAAGAAGAACTAACCGATGCAAAACATCAGATCTGCAGTCCTTGTCACACTAAATGTAAAACCAAGTTCACTTTATGTGGAATCTTTATCGACAAAAACAAAATGCTTAGAAGGAATAACGTTGACAACGCAAATACAGAGGAGGTAAACTTCATCCCTTTCTCTCTCTCTCTGTCTTTCTCTCTGTCTTAATCTCTCATTTCATGAAATCTTACTAACTACATAAGCTACTTTTATGGAGCAGTGGGTTCAATGTGAATCTTGCCAAAAATGGCAACATCAGATATGTGGTCTCTACAATAAGCATAAAGATCAAGACTACACCGCAGACTATTTTTGTCCTGAATGTTTATTAGAGGAGCTTAAAAGCATCAACAACAAGCGACTCGATGACAATACCGATTCGGGAGCAAAAGATTTGCCTGAAACCATCCTCAGCTACTTCCTAGAGCAAAGGCTATTCAGGCGCCTAAAGGAAGAAAGATACCAAACCGCAAAGGCTAGTGGGAAGAGCATCGATGATGTAAGACTATGATGTGGTTTCTTTTCATTTTGAGATTCTGTTTGAGTTTCCGTTTCTTTATACTGAACTTAATACTTTTTTCTTTCCAGGTATCTGAACCAGAAGGTCTTACCCTCAGAGTCGTGTTTTCGGCTGATAAAACCCTAACCGTCAACAAACAATTTGCCAATTTGCTTCACAGAGAAAACTTTCCTAGTGAATTCCCTTACAGATCAAAGGTGAGAATCAGTAGTACCACAATTGAATATTTGAATTTTTGATCCAGTTATGTATTTCAAAACTTACTTAGTTATTGTTAATTTTTGATGTTTCAGGTTATTCTTCTATTCCAGAAAGTCGACGGAGTTGATATATGCATCTTTGCCTTGTTTGTCCAAGAGTTTGGATCAGAATGTGGCCAACCAAATCAACGCAGCACATACATCGTATATCTAGATTCCGTCAAGTACTTTAGACCTGAGAGAGTAACATTCGGAGGAGAAGCTCTACGAACATTCGTTTATCATGAAATATTGGTAAATATTCATTACTCTTTTTCATCATCGTGCTTAAATGCCAATTAAAACCTAATTATCATTGACATTGACATGTTTCTATGTTTTATCTCTGATAGATTGGATATCTTGAGTATTGTAAGCTTCGGGGTTTCATGACGAGTTATATATGGGCGTGTCCACCTAAGAAAGGACAAGACTACATTATGTATTCTCATCCTAAGACTCAGCAAACCCCCCAAACTAAGAAGCTTCGCCAATGGTATGTATTTTCTTCCTTTTTTTCCACTTGATCCCGGCTTTATCCTTTGGTCATTGTTCTTGTGAAGAAATTGGATTTGACATTAACAACGTGTTGTTAATACAGGTATATGTCATTGCTTAAAAAAGCAGCAGAGCGGAGGATAGTGATGAATGTTACAAACTTGTATGATCGGTTCTTCGTTTCAACAGAGGAATATATGACAGCTGCGCGGTTGCCTTACTTTGAAGGATCTTTCTGGTGCACTAGGGCTGAGATTATGACTCAAGAGATTGAGAAAGAAGGCAATAATGAGTTGCAGAAGAAGGTTAAATTGCTTTCTAGAAGAAAACTAAAGACTATGAGCTACAAAACTACGGCTGGTGTTGATGTTGATGATGTAAAAAACATTCTCGTAATGGAAAAGGTAATCATTTACATTTTGGATGTACTTAGAATTCAAATATGGATCTTTCTTCTCTTTTTTGGTAACTTTTGAGGGTGTTTAATCTTTAACAATTCTGTTTTGTTTAGCTCGCGAAAGAGGTATTCCCAAGTAAGGAGGATTTCATGGTGGTGGATTTGAATTATTCATGCACACGCTGTTCGAAAGCCATATTATCGGGATTGAGATGGTTTTGCGAGAAGTGCAAGAATCTTCAACTGTGTGAAAGCTGCTATGATGCAGAACAAGAGCTTCCTGGGGAACACATATACAAGAGGAAGGACAAAGAGAAGCATCAGCTCTCTAAGGTTATTAGCTTTCTTGATCATAATGATTTTCTTGTTTAGGAAATTGATTCAACGCATTTTACTAAACTGGGTTTGGTTTTACTTCCACAGGTTCAGGTGAACGGCGTACTGTCTTCTACAACAGAGGATAATGATATCATTCAAGAAAACGATATGTTCGAAAGCAGACAAGCGTTCTTAGCTTTTTCTCAAAAGCATAACTACAACTTTCACACGCTTCGACATGCCAAGCATTCTTCGATGATGATACTTCACCATCTTCACACCTCAAACAAGCAACATCACTCTCAAAACTCTAGCAGTCTCACCTGCACGGCCTGCAAAAAAGATGTGTCGACCACGATTTACTTCCCTTGTTTGCTCTGTCCGGATTACCGAGCTTGCACTGGATGCTATACCAAAAACACAACCCTTCGTCATCTTCATATTTTCCCCACACTCCCTTCAGCTAATGGAGCGCCGCCTAGAACAGTAGTGGTAAGTATACTTATATGTTTCTTTCTTTTCTTTGGTTTTATTTTTTACCAGCTCACTAAATTAAGCAACTTAATACTCTCTTAGGTTCTTGAGATATTGAACGCAATATCGCATGCGTTTCGGTGCCAAGCCACGACCACTAACTCATGCTCATACCCGAAATGCCATGAAGTTAAAGTATTGTTCAGTCACAATGCACAATGCAAAATGAGAGAGAAGGGAGCTCGTTGTAACATTTGCAACAGATTGTGGCAGACAATAAGGATTCACGCGTACCATTGCCAAGATCTCAATTGCCCTGTACCGCACTGCAGGTAAATTTCCATTCCTCTATATATGATTTTAATGATCTCTGCAACTTTAGCTTTTTTTTAACTTTGATATCTCTTATATTCTCAGAGATAGGAAGGAAGTCTTGATTAGGAAGGTGTAAAGGCACTAACAGAGGAGGATTCAGAAGGACTAATGTGTACATTGCTTAGGTGCTCTGATAGTATTTGACTTTATAGAAGACACTGTACAGAAGCTAAAACCTTCTCTTACATCAATAATTATTCTGTTTTTCAAACTGTCAAGAGTGATGGACTCAGATGTTGTTTCAAATTTTCTTTTCTTTGTCAAGTGTTGTTCAATAGATAGAAAATAAGTTTGCTTCTTGATGTTTTTTCCAAATTGGTGTAACATAAATATAAAAAAATTTATGTCAGTATATCATTCCTTTTTGTGCAACTTATATTATTCTTTTGTTATTTTAAGATTGTTTTTTTTTTTTTTTTCCAAGGTGTTCCGTTTTATATATAACAAGCCAACTTACAAGAGCATCCATTAATGGATCAACCATTATGGAGAGTCAAGGACTTAGTACAAGAGCCTAAATAAAGCAGACCTAAGATATATTACAATGATTATTAAAAGTTGAAAGATACGATTAAAAAGTAACATAACAACTAGAACTTTGCTCTGTTACTAGATCTTTAGAAACAGCAGAGCAACACCTGCAGCATTCAAAAAGTAATAACATCCCCATCTTGATCTTTATCAAACTCAGAGAAACAAAGTCCAATCATTTTGAGGGAATGAGCTTCCATAGAAATTCATGGGGGAAGTTGAGTAACAGGGTAAAACTTCACTCCACTCCATTCCTCTGCCTATTATGTTGGTTGTTTCGGGATGGCTCTTTGTTTACTTGTTTACCTTTCCTGCGTTTAGAGCATTCACAGAAGCAAAGACTCTGCCACCAAAAGAGACTGTACCAGTAAAATTACCTACCAATAGCAAATCTCTTTTCCTGCTCAAAAAAACCTTTAAGCCAAATAGGATATCCCCTAGCTACATGCGAAGATAATCTTAAATCAGAGGTCACACTATTTGCTATCATGGAGGTCCCAACATTGCAATTCTGAGCTTCATAGAGAAGAAACCATATCTCTTATCTTTACTTATCAGTAAGAAAGGAGAGATATGACTTACAATGGCTGGCCATTCATTAGGCTTATGCATAGCTTTAATGATGTCCATCGTCGTTGTCGCAAAGATCACTTTCTGAAAATGCAAACTCTGCATACTTTCTATGGCCCATTCCCAACTTTTGATTTGAGCTGCAAATTGAGAATCCACTGCAGCATAAGATCGCCGACTGTGAAGTAAAACACTGCCAGCAGAATCTCTTAAAACCCAAGAAACTCCAGCAAGGGAATTTCGTTAGACCAGGAGAAGCCAATATTACATTTGACTTCATCATCCAAGGGAGGTAACAAAACTGAATCAGATGAAACTGAAACTTCCTTGTGTTGCAAAACTCCCATCTGACTCTCCATCCATTCTTTAGAATCATCAATGGCATTTTCAACTAAAATTTTGGCCTGAAAATGTAACCCCTCAAACAGAGACTTATTCCTATTTTTCCATAACCGCCATAAAATCCATGGAAATGACAACTTAGCATCAGCAGATAAAAAACCAGACTTAAGGACATGCATAAGGTGATGCAAATTCTCAAATTCAGAAGGACCAAAACCATTCTGAGGAGATGGTATGTTAGATAAAGCCCAGACTTGTCTTGCAAACGGACAAGACAAGTATAGTTACAGTCTATACTTGTCTATTATTACAGTCTGTAAATATAAGGTTGAAATTTTGTGCATCCAAGTATACTATTTGTATGCTATTTGTATCATTCCCAAAATAAACAAAAACACGTGAAAATGGATCAAATCATTAAATGCACACACTTTGTGGTTACAAGGAGATCACTCTCATAAAATAAATAAATCATCATCTAAAACATACCAAAAGAATTGAGAATTCTTGAAGATTCTCTTAAACAAGATATCAACTAAGTGGTAGAAAGCTAGAAAGAAAACACTACATTGTGGTGAAAAATATCCAAACGAAATTAACACAAGCCTCCTAAGTAGCTAATGATCAAGAAGCAAAACACTAATATTGTCAACAGAAGAAGGTTAGTTCTTCATCATCATAGGCCAAACTACATTCTCTGATGGGCTACGTCGTCAAGAAAGTCCAAAGCTTCTTACCAATGGAGACTTTCCCGGGATGTTCTGCATCCGATTCATCGTCTTCACCATCCGAGTCAGCCCTTTGGGGTGTTTTGTTCACATCTTCACTCATTGCCTCACTCTCACCTGTTCTTTTGGGCGAACCAGCATCAGTATCCTGAGAGTCTACCGTGGCTTCATGCTATTGAAACAGACAATTAAAAGAAACAGATTTGTCAAGCGAGAGAAATCAAAAGAAGAGGGAAAAAAAAACAAAAATCCAGCTAAGTTAGTAAGTTGTGAGAGCTGCATTCTACCTGCACCACATTTGTGTTTACTCCATTATCACTAACAGCAACACCTACTGATGCTGTGGCGGTGGCTTGAGCACAGTGAACCTCCTCGTCTTGCTGCACTCCACCAATCTCTTCATTCTTCTTACTAAGTGCGGTTTCTCCAGTTACCCTAATAACCCAAAAGTGAAACATTTATTAAACAGCCTGAATAAAAAAACAATAAACAGTTCAAACGCATTATCCTCAGGGACTGTGTTTGTAAGTAAATGGGATTTGAAGTAACCTTCTAGGTCGCCGGAGATTATATCTTTGTCCTACCACTTCTCCTTGTTGTTCTGATGCTACCTTTTGGCGCCTCTTCCGCTGATGTGCTCCTCCGGTGACACTATCTGACTTTCCATCGCTCTCGTTACCATCCTGCTCAGTAGTACAAGTTCTCAAAGAACCCACACGCCCACGTTTCCGTCCATTCTTTGAAATTGCTTTATCAGAACGAACAGGTTCACCCGTGCTTGCTTTAGTAGAGTCGTCAACATTTTCTGTTGAATCATTGGGTTCATATAGGTCTATAGATTCTCCATATATAGCTTTAGCATCTTCAACAACATCTTTGACAGAGCGTGTTCTTCTGGTTCTGGCTTTCCCTTTCCCTTTCCCTTTCAAGGGTGATTGACCATCGACGTCTAGATTGGACAAAGAATCTGCAGCAACTTCTTGAGCCTTGCTGTTGATGTTGCTTTGATCACCGTCTGAATTTACATTGGTGACTTCGACTTCTTTTGTGCCAGTTTCAGATTCAGCCTTCTGAACATCAAAGGAATAGGTCGTCGCTGCCTGAAGCGTAGTTGATGGCCCACAGTTCACGTTAGCTTGCTCAGTAGATTGCAGTTCTTGATCAGCCATATTCCAAGTAACAGAGGGTTCCGACATTTTTATTGGGGACAACTTAAGAATCTTTGAAGTACATTTCCGTAACCATGACACCGTCCCACCAGTAACTGGCAATCCTAAGCTAGCAGCAGTTGGGGATACATCCCTCATCTCCTGCCTTGGTGCTTCGTTATCAAGACTGTTGACCAGTTTTGACATATTAGGCATTTCCAGGTTATCAATTTCAGGAAGTACGAGCTCAGAAAGTAGTTCACCGCACGGATTGCAGTTCCTATCACTTTCCATGGAAGAAAGGAAACGGTTTCTCTCACTAATGAATTGTTCCCGCTGTTCCTTCAGTTTCTTGGTTAAGGCAACAAGGTCATCAACATCTTTCCGGATTTCTGTCTGCTGCTCTTCAAGATGATTTTTACTAGTATCAACTTCTAGCTTTTCTTTCTCTATTCTGAGTCGTTCATTCTGCATGTCCGCCATTTCTCTTCTGGCTACGTCTCTTAGGTAATTAATATTGCTCAATTCCTTCTCTCTCTCTTCCTCAAATACCTTCTCTTTCGTTTGCAACTCCCTTTCTTTTTCTTCCAGAATAGTCTGCATATCAGACTCGAGTTTCATTTTACGCATTTCAATATCATGAAGCAGTTGACTTCTCTCGCTCTCAGCTTTTCTAGAGAGCATTGAACGCTCATGCTCCATAGTCTCTGCAAATGAAGCTTTTGCCACTTCAAGAGCTTCGAGCTCCCTTTGCAAGTTTTCAGTTGCTGCCTGCTTTTCTTTGTTCAGCCTTTCTTCTTCCAAGTGATTGTGTCTCTCTAGTTTTTCCTTCTGATCAGTTATATTCTTTAGTTCGTTCTCGATCTTAGCTTTCCTCTCATCAAGTTCTTCCCATTCTTTCTCAAAACTTTCCCTTTGGGCCTTCAGATCCTCAGCCTCTTTCAGAAGAAGCTCCTGTTGAGACCTGCACTTTTCTATTTGCTCCTTTAATTCGGTTTGCAGACGAAGATACTCAGACCTCTCTTCCTCAGTAACTCTAAGCTCCTCCTTCTCTTTGTGAATTTCTGCTAGCTGTACTTGATTTTCAGCACTTATTTTCTCGACTAAATCTTTAAGATTGAGAATACTCTCCTTATCCTCGAGCAGTTTTTTCTTCTCAGCTTCCACTGCCTTCTCCTCGCTTTTCAAGGCTTTCTCTCTGCCACTTATGCCTTTCAGTCTTAGCTCAAAATCGTTTTCTTTTTCTTTATGCTTCTCCAGTTTCCTATCTAATGCCTGTTCACGTTTAGCAACTTTTTCCTCCATGTGCTTCCACTCGGTCTCCCTCTTTTCCACTTCTGCAACCTTGCTCTTCAAGCTGTCATCAATAGATTTTCTTTTCTGCTCCATTTCCAACTCAAACTCACGCTGTGTTGCATCCAATTTAGCTTGGTGTTCATCAATTAGTTGCTGAACTGCCATCTGTCAATTAGCCAACATTAAAAAGTTAACACCCCGAATGCACACATGTAATAATCAAAATGACATGGAAACGTGATATCAACCTTGTCAAGAACATGATTACTCGTTTACTAATACAGATAAAGGAATACTGCATAATACTGAGTCATGACAATGCAAACGAAAAATGAAACAATCACAAATAAACAAAATCGAGATGGAAATTGAAAACTTGTCCTGCCCAGAGAACTTGCTGCAGACAGCAAGCAATTTCATCAACTAAATATCAAACTGAATTACTTAGTATCAGATTTATCCACAGAAGAAATACATAATTGTATAGGGAGAGATTGAGAGAGAGAGGGCTTGCCTTTTCTCTGGCTTCCAGTTTCTCTTGCAGAGCTTGTAGCTCTCGCGCTTTTGTCTCTATGGATTTCTTCAACACTTCAGTTTCCTGCATCCAGAGGAAGTATGTAAGTTGAAAAGATTCAACCACTTTAAATAAAAACAATACTAAAAGAAAAATT